TTGGTGTTGTTGGGTAGTCATTGCATATCCCTGGATGCACTTCCCCATATTGTAAAGAGTAGCTTACCCTCGGGCACCCCGTCCCATAGTTATCAATGACAATGCTTGGGTTGCAGATGTATATGTAATTATTGCAAATAATCTTCCTTATAACAGCATAAAAAAGTTAACATGAAAAAGTGCTTTTTAATGCATTAAAATGTAAAAGAGAATCATCCCTCCAAGGAAACCCTAACCTCCAGTAGCACTAAAGCTCTGACAGTCCCATGTGCATTCCCCATGACAATAACCAAAGTTGGAACTTCCTCACTAATAGGTGAGGAGTGCAAGGATAATAAATAAATAAAACAGGACTTTGAGAAGAGTCTGTATATTCATCACAGCATTTTGGTGGAACTTTCATTGGATGTTTTATCAATAATTATGAAAATGGTATTTACTTAAACTTATATTTGTTGTCTTTTTAATTCACTCAACTTGGAAAATAATTTTAATACGAGTATCTGTGAAAGGTCCTTTGCTTGAATGGAAAAACAAACTATCCAGTCAGTTTGCCTGTGGGTTGCAAGCTGCATTCAGCTCAGTTTGTGTAAAGAAGTTAGGGCACATATTTCAGATAAAAAGGCCATTATAAGTATAATGATTATTGGTTTGTTTTATTCCAAAATAATTAAACTACCTTCAGTATTTTTTATCATTAACCATAATAGCGTGATCAGATAGCACGTTTTTTTGTACTATTGATTCCTCTTACATTAGCAAACCTTTTCACAAACATTTCCCAAAAATAGTACTTTATACTTTTGTTTTTGTCCCCCCAAAACACACTTGTGTTGCAATCACCTGTGTTTTGAAGAACTGACACATTCAAGGCTATTTATGTGCACAAATTGTATAAGTTACTATATGACTCCACAGTGTCAACGGCAGCATTTTTATTTGTCCTTCAATTGTCCTAGACAATTGAACACTTTTGTCCATAAAAACACTCAATTGTTTCTGCAACTGAAGATTATGTTTTCCCCAGTGTTAGTTTATCTGTTTGTTAGTGGACAAGCCATGCCATTACAAATTTAAATGACATATTACTTAAGGTAAACAGTTGTTCAGGAATTCAGGTTATTCTGAAACCTGGTCTCTTATATCTTAAAAATGAATTTTGTTTTTGCTATTCTTGCTAGTAATTGCCTTTTTCCTTTGTGGAGTTCTGTGCTCTTGGTAATTATCCTAATTTACAAATATTAATTCTGGCTAGTGTGTCAGGTCAGCACTGTCCCTTCATACAAATATTTATTCTGGCTAGTGTGTCAGGTCAGCACTGTCCCTTCATACAAATATTTATTCTGGCTAGTGTGTCAGGTCAGCACTGTC